CCCTGCAAGCAACGTATTTGATGTAATGAGTGTGCCCGGTCTGAGGTGAGAGTTGTTTGCAAAGAACAGGGGACCCTTTGGCTCACACTTGAGCATGGTACATTCTAGCCCTCACGGGGCCCTGACCCCCACCCCAGAGAATCGCCAAGTTCTCAGCTCCCCTCTCTGTATGGGCCCCCATCATTGTCACTGAGCCTCACACACAGAGGGGGGGGAGGGGCAGTTCCCTCCCAACAGCCCTATGAGCTGGTTCATTCTACACAGGGAAACTGAGGCTCAGAGCAATATAGTGGCTGGCTAAATGTCACATAAGGAGAATGCAGGAGAGTAAGGATTAGCACCCATGGCTGCTGGGTCCTAACCCAGCCGTCCTACGCACGCCTTTTGGGGCTAAGTCCCCATTTGTGGCAATTAGCCCTCCACAGCAGCTGGGCCCATCGATCTGCCATTCCCTCTAAGTACATCAGAGCCAGTCTGCCCTTCACCTTGGTTTCCTCTTTCCTGCATGGCCTGATTTTAGGGTTTTCTTGGGGCTATAAAGGCCAAGGGGATTTAGGGGCTTTTCCTGGGTAGCAGCAGAATCGTTTCAATCAGCCCCCAGGGCTCTTCTGCTTTGTATAATTCCCTGCCTGTTCCCCACACGCCCAAGCCACAAACATAACCTGCACCTTGCCGCCTCCAGATGACTCAAAACAACTTCTCCCACTGCCTCAGGGGAAGTCTGGTATGAGCCTCAAGATCTGGGAGGCGGGAGCGCCTCAGACTTTGGGAAGAGACTTGCAACTTGTAGATGTGTCCTGAACTGCAATGTAGCATTACTGTGCCTTGTATAAACAGCTGCTGTGTTCCACCCCAGAGCTGGCTGCATTTCAGTGCTTGGTGGGGGCGGATAGGATTCCTGTATAAAGAGCTGTTGTGATTCACCCCAGAGGTGGTCTATAAAATCAGGACTGGTGTGGAGAACATGAATAAGGAAGTGTTATTTACCCCTTCACTTACCACAAGAATCAGGGGTCACTGGAGGAAATTAACAGGCAGCAGGTTTAAAACAAACACAAGGACGTACTTCTCCGCCCAACGCACAGCCAATCTGTGGAACTCACTGCCGGGGGATGTCGCGGAGGCCAAAACTATAACAGGGATCAAAAAAGAATGAGATAAGCTCTTGGAGGACAGATCCATCAGTGGCTATTAGCCAAGATGGTCAGGGATGCAGCCCCATACTCTGGGCGTCCCTAAACCTCTGACTGCCAGAAGCTGGGCCTGGACGACAGCAGTGGATCACTCGATAATGGCCCTATTCTGTTCATTCCCTCTGAAGCATCTGGCACTGGCAGAGGCAGGATACTGGGCCAGCTGGCCCTTTGCTCTGACCCAGTCTGGCCGCTTTTATGTTGTTGAGCACAAGAATGCAATGACACAGGACTCGGAGGCATGGGTGTGCATGGCCAAATCTCCCTGAGACACATGATCCAGAGCATTTGCGGGTTGCTGTGTATCAGCAGGGCAGGTGGAAGCTGCTATCCTCTCCAGAGCCAGTGTGGCTTAGGGGCATTTAAATGCCGGCCATGTAAGTAGAGAGAGGCGGCAGTGGGAATACAAAACTGGCACCAGGGGGCGGGGTGCTCATCCTCCCAATGTCCGGGCATGGGGGGCAGTGATGGTGTGACAAAGTGGGGATTTCCTGTAATATTGGAATGAATCCTACGTGTGCCTCAGTTTCCCCTAGCATGGCCATGGTTACCTAGTGGAAGGGAAAGGGATTGTTTGCCTCAGGGCAGGCTAAGGGACACCTGGGAACTGACCAAGGAGGTCAGACGGGGAGAGATACAGAGTCTGGCTGTGGGAGCCATTCCAGCTTGGCTGGGTGTGGGCTGACCAGGCCGGACGATGCTTTAACCTCCGTGTCTCGGCGCTAAGCTGGGGCCATCCCGTGGTGGGCTCCAGGGACCAATAAACCCGACAGGTCTGCCAGTGCCGCCGAGCGTCCCTGCAAGTGCTGCTGGGGCGTCAGTCCCTGCAAGGGGGACAAGGCTCTCCCAGGCGCCTGGCTGGCCCCGCTGGGCAGAGCTCGCAGGGTGCAGCAGGAGGGCTGGAGCCCAGAGGTTCAGTCTCGGAGGTGGGGAGGCCACATGGCCGATCCTGGAGGACGAGTGAGACCCGAGGGACCTGGCCCACTGACGGATTCCTCCGAGAGGCTGTTCCAAAGCTGGGGTGTATCCCCGATCCTGGGGCTCCGTGACAGATGGCACCAAGCCAGAGCCAAGGCCTCCAAAGGGCGTGATGGATCCTGCAGGGTAAGAGGCCAGGAGGCCTGGCCTCTCTTCTGGTTTGATTCCAGCCCAAGGGGCCAGAAGCTAGAAATTGGGTGGGATGAGTTTGTTGGATCTCACCCACGCACCCCTGTTTCCCCCCAGCTCCAGCCTCTCCCCGCTCCATTAGTCCTCCTCTGCCCCGTCCTGGCATCCCTGTTTGCTTTCCTCCCACTGTGTGCGTGTGGGGAGCTGCTGCTGTGGACAGGAGGATGCGGCAGCTGCTGATTCCCCCACCCTGTGGCCCCGGGTGGCCCAGCGGGCGTAAGATGGAGAAACTAAAGGGCAGCGTGTAGGCCCAAAGCGGGAGTCAGTCCCTGAGCACCTCGGAGGAGCTGCCCCTAGTACGCACGAAGCTGAGGGAACCCTGTTTGCTGCCAGCCGATGGGTGACGCTGCCGTGGGGCCGAGTGGGGGGACCCAGTGTCTATGGGAGGGGAGAATCCGTTCCCCAGTATCCAGTCTGGGTTTAAATACCCCAGCAGCACCAGGGCTCCCTTCGGGAGATGCCTCTGTAGCCAGAAAGGCTCCAAGCACACAGACGGTCGTGCTGCCCAGCAAGGACTCCCCGGTCGGTCTGAATCCACCCGTCAGCTCGTGTCTTGTCCGGAGATCGTCAGCTCTTTGGGACAGGGACTGCTCTGTGTCTGTACAGCGCCTAGCGCGAGGGGTCATGGCCTGGGACTGGCGCTCTAAGGCACTACCATTATCTGTATAATAAATAATGATTTCAAGGAGGCAGCTGGTTGCGCTCGGGTCGGCCGCGGCGCGGTTCCGGTCTGCAGTGTAAACTGAACCATACCACGTCTGGTTATCCAAGGGACGCACTCTTCCGCTTCAGAACCAAGCTGTGCGGTACTAAGGCCTTAGCCAGGACAGCCTGCCTCTGGGCCCGGAGAGCTCCACCATATCCAGCCTTCCTTTCCACTTGCCCCCTCCCCTCGTTCTCTGACACTTTTGGATCCACAAGCCGCTCTGCCTGGGACATTTTGCTGTGTCAGGGAGTTGTCAGAACACGGCATCGCCAGTCCCAAGCGTTCAAACCGCAGGAGTGGGGTGGTCCCCAAAATCATGCCATGGGCTTAAAAATCATTAGCTTAAAAAAATGGGGAGATTTTTTATTTGCTGGTGGCATGGACACCTAGAAACTTATGTTTCAATGGAAGCCGAGCATCTCACTCCATCCCATGACTCCGGGAGCTGGTGCTTTAAGAGACACACCAAATACCAGGGGACCTGTGATGAAACCACAAGCATTGGCCACTTGGGAGCACCCTGTGTGTGTCACACAACCTCACACACAGTGCTCTTGGCCATGTAAGTGAGGGGCAAATCCTGTGATAAACCCTGTGATACAGCCCAGGAGGAAGGTCAAACGCAGGGACCACCCTCAGTGGGACCCATGAGATTAGAACGACCCAGCGACATCAGTGCTGCAGATGGGCCCTGTGCCAGCAGCAAGGGGGGGTCAATCCAGCTGCTGCCAGCTGGGCTGTAAGCACTGTTTTCCTTACTGGTATATTGAGGGGCACAGTGGACAGGGGCACCCCCTATCTAGTCACCCATCCATCCCTGTACGCTCCCCTGCCCCCGGCTTTCCAGGCCCAGCTGCAATAGTCAGTCTGTCCTTCTGTCCTTCCATGGGATTGCTCTCTCCATATGGACCTGTCATCCATGTGCACTCATCCCCATGTCATCGGGACCCAGTGGGGGGAGGGGTCGGACCTTTGGGTGCACTGGAGAGGGGAGATTCAGATCCATAGGTGTGCTGAGGGGGAGTCGGACCCTTGGGTGTATGGGGGGGGTGTCAGACCCATGAGTGTGTTGGGAGGGGTCAGCTCCATGGGTGTATGGGGGTGTGTGTCAGACCTTGGGTGTATGGGGTGGGTCGGACCCATTGGCGTATTAGAGGAATGAGGCATCGGATCCAGGGATGTGCTGGAGATGGTCAGACCCATGGGTGCGGGGGAGTCAGACCTAGGGGTGTATTACAGGAAAAGGGGTCGGACCCATGGGTCCACGGTGGGGTTGTACCAATGGGAATGA